ACGGTTCTGTGATCAGTAGTAAATTTCCATCCGAAGGCCTGAGGGTGCTCTCGCGCAGAAACTCCAAATACACCCCGCAGAAGAAATCCTGGGCCTTCATTTAACAACAGTGTGTATGAGGAATGTGTGTAAAAATAAGGACAAAATATAGAACCTTTTCTACGCACTGTTGATAAATGAGGCCACAGGAAATCCCTGTCGTTGCAGCTAAACTGAAGATTTAAATGCTTTCATTGATTCAACGTGACTAATAAACACACGGCTACAACAACATATAGTTTATCGGAGTTGTTCTTATAATTTTCCTTATAATAAAGTATTGAATATGCAATGCCTTTATCACTGCTTAGAATACTATGAAATATGTTGTGTGCCTTATTCTGTGTAAGAAGACACATCGTCTCACTGAAGGATTTATTTCAAACACTTGACTGACGTTATGAAGTAAGGTTGGAGTAAAAACATGTTATTAGGGCTGGGCAAAAAAAAAAGTATTTTTCAATGAATCGTTTTTTTTTTAATGACGTCGATTCGATATCGATTTTCAAAAGCCGCGAATCGATCTTTTCCGGCATTGATTTCAACACACTTTTAAAACAAGATCTGATTAACGTGAATCTTATCATTAGTCTTCTCCACTAGATGTCACCCTTATTTACCTTGCGCGATGTTACAACAGAAAGCTTGTCATTCATTCAGCACTTATCATGGCCATACGCCGTGATTCGCAATGCTCAGGAACGCGGAAGTAAGCCTATGGGTGAGACTTCCGGTTCATTAGCCATTATAGGTAAATAACGAGGAGAATAACAACGTGCAGTAAACTGTAAAACTGTTTGCACTACAAACCAGTGTGTTCATAATTAAGGTAATACATTAAAATAATATAAGACACACCAACTTTCAATATCAAGAAGCAAAACGAACTGTTTAGTTCAGCTAAAAATAGCTGGACGGAGTGGACGCAGATGAGACCGGAAGCCAGACCCATAGAATTTACAAATGGCTGCGGCCATTTTTACTACAAGAAAAAGGTGGATAGTAATACTATAACTCTGCGGAAGCATTTAATATCATGCATAAGGCGGCATGATTTCCGCAATGAATGAATGGCGGATGGCGCGGCGCACTGTTTTGTTTACTACACACATACTAAAGCGCGGATGATGCTCGCGGTGTTTTCAGCTTCTGCCGTCTCACTATGAACACGAATGTCTTCTCCAGCTGCTCTTGAGAGTCACTTCATTAGCATTTTACCGTTTCATTTGAGAAAACTACCATCATATCACATACACAGCAGCTGCAAGTTCTTCACGGCAACCCGTCAAAATAAAGTTTAGTTTAACATTAAGAAACTGTCAGAATATATTACTATTTAGCAGTCTTAAGACTCGATGCTACTACTGCTAAATACATATTAATAAATCTTTATTTTTAAAGGAATAATCACATCTGTTTTTCTTCTTAATTTTAATAGTAAACCTCTGTTGTGCAGCACTTTGTTTGCCAAAAAATAAAAGGGTTTAATTTTCATTTGATTAGGATAAATTAAATTAATGTTTTATGCCTTCATCTGATTACCAGAAAAATTAAGAACATTTTATAGGGCCTTATTATTGTTTAAAAAAGAACACTATACCAAAAAAAAAAGAATAGGTTTAAAATACAGGCATGTGGTTCTTAATTTCTTTTTATTAATTCACCATTTGTAAACTGATGTTTACTGTTCGTTTTTTAGAAATATCAATAGCATTTGTATTAAAACTATATTCACTGAATGTAATAAAAAAAAATCGTGATTCGCAAGCTCTCGATTAGAATCGGGACATCTGAATTGATATCCAGCCCTACGTTATTGAATGTGGTATTTTCACGTGCTTTCAGATGGAGCAACATTTACTACACAGCGCGGTAGTTCACCGAGAAGCTACGCAAACAGCTGTTAGTGCAGAACGATTTCTTCATTTTAATAATCGCGTGATTATGTCGTCTGCGTTTATTATTTTTTTTGTGTAGCTTGTTAGTGAACTAAGACTCGGTGTAGTAAATGCTGGTCCATCTGAAAGCATGTGATGGAGATTTACTTCTGATTACAAAACTGGCTTTACTGACAAGATGCATATGACAATTGCATTCGATTAATCGTGCAGACCATCTATAATATATTAATGTTATGCCCCTCCCCTCAAACGCAGATGAGCCAATGGCAGTTCAGTATCAGTTGCAAGGGGACCGGAACTCGGACATCTTTAGGTTTCAGCGTCGTAGAGAAACATTGGAAGATCTTAAGCTTTCATCGGTTTGATGGCGTTTATGCTACAAAAATGGAAAAATTATGTGCCCAGGGCACTTGTAACACAGATTCCAGGTATCCTGAGAGTATGGGCAATGAAATTAATTTCATTCTATTTCCTAATCCTAAACAAAACAGAGCAAAATGTCCCTAAGCATTCAGTTCCAATCCCAATGAAGATGAAAACGTTCATTTTCTGGTTGTCATACTCTCATTAAGTTACAATTTTCATCTGCTCAAGCAGTACATTAATGCCATCTTGTGCTTCAGCAAGGTATCTCTGGCTAAAACTAGCTAACGTTAAAGTTAGTGAGTCCATGCTAACATACAAACCTAAACAGCAAACTATTCACAAATCATGTACAGTGTAGGTCAAAAACACATAAAAGGTCTAACGTTACATTTTAGTGCCTCTCCATATTAAATTGGTTAAATGTAAATTAATTTAATCTTACACTGCGGTACACGAACTGTGTTGTCATTGCGATTGTGGCGGCCGTAACATGAGACTTCTCCTGTTTGCATTGTGATCTGTATTTTTTTTAGTTATTCTAAAATAATTTATAAATGTCTCTATGGCATATTGAAGTCCCACAGCTGAATGATGGTCCCTCTGTGTCCAAAATTTATCAAAAACATCTTGGGACAAGGTTTTCACACTGAGACATTAAGACAGTTAGCAACTCTGTTTGTTTGTCTGAGTGAGCAAGGGGGGTGGAGCTTACCGATGGGACAACTAATTGAAAGCAGCGCAAGCAAACTGGTCAGCAAACGAGCTCAGAACAGGTTTACTTGGGATCCAATGTTGATCTCGCGACACTGTTACAGCACAGCACTGTGTGATCTAGTGAGAAGCATTCAAATTCTGCTCAGAATTCTGTTATGAACAGATCAAACAGCGCTGACGCAGAAACCCAGAAGCAGTAACGCTAACTATAACCATGATGTTGCGGCAGAAATAGTACAGTGTTATTACATAATTAATTTCAAGGTTTGTACAACCTTTTGAGAGAGAAATTCAAGAACTTTTCAGTGACTTTCAAGTATTCCACACAGCTGTTTCCAGCACTTTAAAACTCTAAAAATTATCCAATTGGACAAAACACAATGTATATCAAAATATAGTTTTGTGGTTAATAAACACTTGTGTAAAATTAAAAAAATAACTACAATTACCACAATAACCAGTAGATGGCAGCAGAGGAGCACTTATTGGCTTATTAGTCATTCATTTCTACTTGCTTTATATTTTGAAATGATAAAATAACTATTATAAAACATCAGATCATCAAGAAATCAATTTTTGTCAAAGTTTTGGACAATTTTTTGTGTATGTAGTAAGAAAATATACAAATCACCAATCTTTCCTTCACTTTTTGACTGAATTGCACATCAATTAAAATCACTGAAGTTGTCGGTCAGTTCTATATAATACTAGGGATGCACCGATACCACTTTTTTCAGAACGAGACCGATACTTTCATTTTTGGTACTCGCCGATACCGATACCTGTATCTTCACAGCATTTGTAATTTAAAAAAATATATATTGGGTACAGTAACAAAATAATAGTAATAATAATAATATGAATCATGTTAGTTGGTTCATTTTAATGGCGCATTAGAGCTGCGCCATTGCAGCAGCTCAATATACTGTAATCACAAAACGTTTTCCTAAAATAATGCAGGGAACCACTCTTTATACATTATAGAAGTGCAGGTGTACTATTTTGGTGATTAAATTAGCGCCGCGTGCAGGGTACATGGACCCTCGCGTACGAGTAAAAACCGAAGTATACTTTGGCCTTTAAAGCAAGCTAAACATACGCAGCGCGCACACGTTTGTATTTGTGCAGAATGAGAGACACTTAAAGCCGAGCGCATTTCACCCAGTCTGCTAGTTTCACTTCTGCTTTAAATAAAGTTGTGTATGCTTGACGTTTAAAATAAATGCTGTTTATAGTGAATGCCCCTATAATTTTAGTTTGTTTTATATTTACGATTTAGTTTTAATCCAAATGCATGCACTAATGGAGCAAGCAGCAATCAAGATCATGCAACAGAAGTGCGCGCTCTCGGACTCTCTCTCTCTTGCTCTCTCTCTCTCTTTCCTTACCGTCAAATAACTTAAGTAACTTGTGCATTGTTTTAATAACTCCATTCTATTCTCTGTTGTTCTGTTTTCAGTGTTTCTTTTTCTGGACACAGCTCTATTCACACGCTGTTTGGTATCGGGGCATTTTTTCGAGTACGAGAACAGGAGCGCAGTATCGGGCCCTATAGTATATAACTATATAACTATAGTATATAATACTTTAGAATAATAATGGTGCATTTAGTAAGAGTAGAATATATACATTTTCTATTTGAAAATTAGATTTTGCACATTACTGATATTACTAAAAGTACATTTTGTATGCTTCCCAACTCAAGCTAAGTGCTTTACTGTCAAATGTGTATTACCAAGAAATAAACATGTGGTATTATTAGTAACTGCACTTGTTAATGCAAAGCCATAGTAATTTTATGATTAAATTATCATTATTTTTTGATACCCCCACACACCAGCCCCCCCAGCGCTACCAAATCTGCTTCTGGCGCCACCATCTGTAGAACTTGGCACTGCTCTCAAATGTTAGTCTGGAGCCCTGCACTGTTACATCAGGGTTCACTTTTATGTTCACATTTCACCATTTTTACTTTTATTTCAGAGTTGATTGAAGAAAAAGAGAAGAATGAAGAATCAAGTGAAGTTGAGGAGAAAAATCTTGTCAAAACTGGAGAAAAACCTTTGAGTTGCCATCTAACCAAACTGAAAGATTTAAAGAAAAGAAGAGCCAAGAAATCTGTCACCTGCACTCAGTGTGGAAAGAGTTTTACATGCAAAACAAGTCTTGAGCGTCACATGAGAGTTCATACTGGAGAGAAACCATTCACTTGTGATCAATGTGGGAAGAGTTTCACACAATCAGCACACCTTAAGAAACACATGAACATCCACACTAGAGAGAACCAGCACGCATGTGATCAGTGTGGTAAAATATTTTTACGGGCTTCAGTTCTGAAGAAACACTTAAAAGTTCATTCAAAGAAGAAGCCACATTCATGTAATTTGTGTGGTAACAGTTTTTTGCGTCTACAAAATTCGAAAGTAGGTCAGAAAATACATACTGCTGTGGGAGAGTACATGTGCTTTGAGTGTGAAAAGACTTTTACTTCAGAGACCTGTACAAAATTGCATGAAAGCATCCACACTGGAGAAAACCCTTATAAGTGTTCACACTGTGACAAGAGATTCAGTCAGTCAGCACATCTGAAAACACATGAGAGGATCCACACTGGAGAGAAACATCATAAGTGTTCACACTGCAACAAGAGATTCAGTAATTCAGGAGACCTAAAAAGACATAAGAGGATCCACACTGGAGTGAAACCTTATAAGTGTTCACACTGTGAAAAGAGATTCAGTCAGTTAGTAAATCTGAAAAGACACAATGGGATCCACACTGGAGAGAAGCCTCATAAGTGTTCACACTGTGACAAGAGATACAGTCAGTTAGCACATCTGAAAAGACACAATGGGATCCATACTGGAGAGAAACTTCATAAGTGTTCATACTGTGACAAGAGATACAATCAGTCAACATATCTGAAAACACATGAGATGATCCACACTGGAGAGAAACATCATAAGTGTTCACACTGTGACAAGATATTCAGTAGGTCAACCGACCTGAAAACACATGAGAGGATCCACACTGGAGTGAAACCTTATAAGTGTTCACACTGTGACAAGAGATTCAGTCAGTCATCACATCTGAAAACACATGAGAGGATCCACACTGGAGAGAAACCTTATAAGTGTTCACACTGCAACAAGAGATTCAATAAGTCAGGAGACCTAAAAACACATGAGAGGATCCACACTGGAGAGAAACCTTATAAGTGTTCACACTGTGACAAGAGATTCAATAATACATCAAATCTGAAAACACATGAGAGGATCCACACTGGAGAGAAACCGTATCACTGCACTGCATGTGGGAAGCATTTCAATCGTTCATGTACTCTACACAGGCATACAAAAAACAATCACAGTAAGGCCCTGTACACACAGAGACGCATTTAGCTGTATACGTAAATATTTTGTATCGTATTGGCGTTTCGTCCAGACGACTCGTGACATTTTGGGAGCTTGAAAACGCTATTTTTTTAAATCGGGTCTCAAGAGTGGATCAATCTGAAAACGACACCTTTGTTTTGTGTGTACAACCAATCCATATATTTTGTGACATGATGATGTCATCCATCACCCCACGTCTCAACCCCATTCAGACACTGCTACGTCATGTAACAACATCAACAATGGCGGACTGCATGCTTGTGTTTGTGCTGCAAAAGCCCATTAGCTTTACAAACTTTTATTAGCTTTTCTTGTTGTTGCATTGGGTTTGTATACTGCGCGCAAGGTTGATGCACATGCTCCAAGTCATCTCCTTTTTTAGTGTATCTCTGTAGTAGAATTACAGCGCCACATACTGGTCTGGCATGAATACTACATCATTTTGAGTCAGTTTCAGTGGTTTTGTGTGTATGCAGATTTTTCTTGAGATGATGCCGTGTTTATGGAAGAACAAGAAAAGAAAAGATTGGATAGGGAAAGCTCTGGTTTCGTGTGGATGAGCTCCAAGTAGATCATCTTCAGATCCAGCACTTTCAGATGCATCTGATGCTGCCTTCTCATCAAATGTGACACAATAATGCATCAAGCAGTAAAATATCATCTGGATAAATCTGTCCTAACCAGTCATAACAAGCGACATGACAAAGAAACATCTAAAGTTTTCACACTGAATAAAGTTCTTCATCTTGTTACGTCCTCTGGACAGAAGTTTTATTGTTCATCCTGATTGTTCAATGTGCAGAGATGTTCTGTGTATGGTGCCATTTCCTGTGTGTGTCTCTCTCTCTCTCTCTCTCTTTTCCCTTTTTCCCTGCGCAGTGTTGATTGGACGCAGCTGCAGCTGATTATGTGGATGAGCGAGAGTGGTTAAAAGCTGAGAAGGAAGAGGAAAATGGTAGAGCACTAAGCAGCGCGTTGAGTCCCGCCGTGTTGGTCGTTGCCGTTACTGCCCTCCGCCTCCTGCCCCAGTCATCAACGCATCCGTGGTATTGTGGTGGCTGACGGGTTGTTGTCATTCTAAATGAGTCTTTTGTGCCGGTGTTATTAATTTGTTTAAGAAGCCGTAGGGAGGAGGTTGCCATTTACTTTATGATCCCTTGTTATCTCCTGTTTATTGACAGCTAGGGAGTAAGGGGAGAGTATTGTATTTTGTTTGGGTTTTGATTTGTTAGGTAAGTTACTGTTTAATGTTTTAGTTAGTTCTTCTTTTGTTTGTTATTTTGGCCTTGACCCCTCCTGAAGATTCACGCTTCTTATGTTACTTTGTGAATTAAAAACGTATTATTGAATATACCCTCGCTCCGTTGTGTTTCTGTGTGTGAGCTGGGACAGGAGAGGGGCGGGTATCGTTGCTTAATCATCTTTTGTTAATGATTTGTTCGGTATTCCCAACCCTAGACTGGGGAGAACGTAACAATCTTCAAAACCAGCAGATTCAACTGTGAGAGTCAGATCAACTCAAAGATGGGAGTTCCTGCCTAAAGAACAATGTCAAAAAGTTTTATTCTTGTATGCTATTTTGCTTCATGATATAAATAATATTGTGTTTTCTTGAGAGATTCATATTATGTTCAATTGTCTTATGCATGTTTCACTTGTAGTTTGCTTGTAGACACTTTTTACAAACTGTTCTTGTTCAGGTCACTTTTTTTTTTTTGGTTCACTTTTTTAATATTGTTCTTCACTGTTGTTTTTAAAATGACTTGAGTTATTCTTTCATGTAATGCTGGGTACACACCACAAGATAATCGGCTGCTTTTGGGCCGATTTCTCCCCTTCCGACAATCCTAGGTAATGTCCCGATTATCTTGGTGGTTCTAAAGATTATCTTATCAGATTTTCCTGTGGTGTGAGGTGTGTTAAGAGTGACTGAATCTGCTCGGAAGAACATCGGAGGCGCCCCCGATCGCGAATCGTAAATATTCAACATGTTGAACAACATGTTGTGGGGGGGGGGGGACCCCGAGGACATCACACACTATAGGAGCAAAACGGTTAAATCTAAGATGTTTGTGGTCTCTCACATTTTGAAGATCTTATAAGATTTTTTAAAATCTTTTAGTGTATCCAGCATAATTTTTAGGTAATGCATATGAAAGATATACTGTCATGTAGGACTGTGCAAATAATCAAATGCGATTATCATGCGCATCTTGTCAGTAAAGCCGGTTCTGTGATTAGTAGTAAATCTCCATCACATGCTTTCAGATGGAGCAGCATTTTACTACACAGAGCCATAGTTTACTGACAAGCTACGCAATATCGCATTCATAATCGCAGGCAATTCAATGCCGATAATCCATGCGATATTGCGTAGCTTGTCAGTGAAGTACAGCTCTGTGTAGTAAATGCTGCTTGCTGTCATGCTGTCATGTAGCTTTGAAACTGATTCTTCTGTGCTTCTATTAAGTAGGAATGAATACCTGAACCCAGTATTAAATGAGCTCTGGGACTAAATTACAAAAGACTAGTATTGAAAAGCGAATGTCAACTGTTCTGCTTTTGGTGCTGGGGAAATTAAGTACGTACACTTAGAGTTTGTTATTGCTACATAAATATTATCAAGCTAACTGTATCTTGCCAACAGTTTCTTCATGTGATAATATCAAGACATTCATTACTGACACATTTTCGTTATTTTGCAATCCAGAAGCGAGGTCTCTCTTGTACTTCAGGGCTGTGAGATTAATCTAATTTTATTTTCGATTGAGTTCGACTTCTGAGGATTATGAAAATTAGTTTGAATTAAAGCGATATATTAGAGACAATCTGATGTGTCTTCATTACTTTAAGGCGGCTGCGTGCGTGTAAAAAAAAACATTAATTACAGTAGTGAACATAAGATGAGCACGATGAACATGGATGAGATACTCAACAAATGTATTACAAATGATAATGTGCTTTTTCTGAAATCTGAATAAAATTTTATACTTTCTTTGTGCATATACCTTAATTCACTTTGTACAATTATTAACTGTTTATGTAATTGTTGTATTGTTTTTATTTGTAACTGCAAATGTTTCAACAATGATTTCACTAACTGCATGCATTTTGATGCAGTTGATTTCGATGTTGGTTTTAAGTCCATGTGACCGTAGTGCCTATTAAAAAAAAACATTAATTACAGTAGTGAACATAAGATGAGCACGATGAACATGGATGGGATACTCAACAAATGTATTACAAATGATAATGTGCTTTTTCTGAAATCTGAATAAAATTTTATACTTTCTTTGTGCATATACCTTAATTCACTTTGTACAATTATTAACTGTTTATGTAATTGTTGTATTGTTTTTATTTGTAACTGCAAATGTTTCAACAATGATTTCACTAACTGCATGCATTTTGATGCAGTTGATTTCGATGTTGGTTAATTTAATAATTAATATATACATCACTTTTTACTCCAGTGATCCTCAAATCTTGCTTGCGAGATCCACTTTCCTGCAGAGTTTAGATCTACCCTAATCAAACACACCTGAGTTTGCTAATCAATGTCTTCAGGATAATTAGAAAATCACAGGTAGGTTTGTTTGATTATAGGGTTGGAGCTAAACTCGGCAGGAAAGTGGATCTTGCGAACCAGATTTGAGGATCACTGTGTTACTCCTATGGAATTGTAATGCTAAAATTTGCACGTCTGAAATAGATTTTGCTCAATTATGACAAAAAGAAATACATCATAACATCATTTAGAGAAATAATGCTGACTACATACAGTACAGACTTAAAGACATGAAGCTTAATTTCTACGACAATGCATGGTTAATACCGCTACTTAAAAGTACCTAAAGCTCAATTATAAAGTAACTTTAACAAATAAGCACAAGCCAACCTGCCTTACCAATCAAGACCACAGGGAGGTCCCAAAGGACTCCATATAAACTACTATACAGCCCTAATCAAAATCACTGAACACATCAAAATACAAATGAAAAATGGAAACATTCTGCATGTGTGGAGACTCAGCGATCTGAAGGCAGCTCAACGTTATTAGTGAACAGTGATTAAAAAGTTGTCAGAACAAGCGATTGTGTCTATGTACATATGGGCATCAAACGCTCCAAACACAAACCACTGATCCTCACAAATTTCTCCAAAACACACCTCTTTTGTGAGCATCCATTATAAAATACTCATTGTACATTCATTTTTGACAACTGCGTCAATATACTGAACTGTGTTCAAGCAGAAACATGATGTTTTAGTGATCAGTGCGCCAACAGCACACAACGTTACACGGTTCAGTTGCGCATCAAAAATAATGGATAAACACGTGCCTAATGTACGACTCTTATATGTCACTGTAATCATCTTTACCTTGATTACAATTGTCATCTATCAAAACTTTACTAGCGCGATGCTGGGTCGATTTATCCAGCTGAGAGCTGTAGTTTGTGTATCATATGTTCATGCAGCGGTCGGGTGTTTTGATGTCTGTTTAATAGACAAAAGAGTTTTGGTAACAGGACTGAGAAAAATGCATCCATCTTCCACTTAAAAACCATGTAAAAAATAAATAATGTACTCGGGTTACAAACGTAACCTCGGTTTCCCGAGATACAGGAAAAAGTAATTTTTTTATCCTAACTGAAGCCTTTTTTAATAACGCAGTGTAACTGCACGTCCATTGGTTCATGCAGTATACTTTACAGTAAACGAACCAATGGCTCGGCAGCGGTGCTGCACGAACATATGGCCACGAAGCCCGCCAGAATGGGCGGGGCCATCTGACTGTATAAGCGGTCGCTTCGCCATAGTCATCTCTTCAGTCAAAGTAACCTGAATCCTGAGTCGTGCAGCTGCATTGCACTACTAGCAACGCAGTACTCGTTCCCGTATCTCAGGGAACCGAGGTTACGTTTGTAACAGTACGTTCCCTATCGATACTTCACTTGTACTGCGTCTGCTAAGACGCTATGGGAACCAGCACAACCACGCTGTGCTATTGGCAGAGGAAAGACTACATGTGCACCCTTGCCCTAGGCACTTCAGGACCCAAGTGAACAAGAATAACAAACACCTCCCAAGGCGAACGGGCTAAGCTCACAGAGGTTATTACCAGCCTGAGTGATCGTTCCAAGAGACTTGCACAGCCCCAGCACCCATGAGGGCCAAGAGCGCGCAAGTAAATCCTCTGACAGGTTTGAGTGCATTACGGCCAAACTCCTGCTCAGAGCAGTGATGCATAAGCAAGTGTGTGTCAGTTATGCAGAAAAAACCCTAGCCTGTAAGGTAGGGACGTCCAGGTTGTAAAACCTAGCGAATGTGGACGGCAAGGCCCAACCAGCCGCCGCACAAATTTCTGCAATAGACACGCCGCTAGACCACGCCCACGAAGAGGCGACGCCTCTAGTTGAATGGGCTCGTACTCCAATGGGGCATTGCAGGCCCAAGGAAGAGTAAGCTAGCATAATATCATCAACTATCCATTTAGAAAGTCTCTGCTTTGTGACCGGATGCCCTCTAGCATGGCCACCGAAGCAAACAAAGAACTGTTCTGACTGCCTAAACTGGGCGGACACTTGATGTAAACTTTCAGCGCCCTAACTGGGCAGAGTAAGTTCTACTCCTGGTCCTCTTCTGACGGAGGAAGCGCAGAGAGTGTAATGACCTGTGCCCTGATTGGAGTAGAGAGCACCTTAGGTATATAACCATGCCTCAGTT